ATTTTAATAATTATTAATTAATATAACCTTTATATAAAAACTAAGGCATAATACTATAAGCCCTATAGTAAACTATAACCCTTATTAATACCTTAGCTACTATAGAAAGCTATTATAATAGATTTTATTACTAAATTACCCCTATTAGAAGAATTAGCTACTAGAAACTTCTATAATAGTATTCTTATTATTATAGATAGATTTATAAAATTTTCTTATTTTATACCCTATAGAGAATTAATAATCGCTAAAGAATTTACTTATCTCTTTTATTTTTATATCGCTAAGATATATAATATATTACTTAAAATTATTATAAATAGAGGATTATTATTTACTTTAAAGTTTTAATAAAGCCTTATAGGATACTTAGGAATTAACTATAAGCTCTCTATAGTATATTATAAAGAGATAAATAGTTAAATAAAATATATAAATTAGATATTAGAATAATACCTTTAATATTATATTAACTATAAATAAACTAACTAAATTAAGAAGCTATTAGCCGCTTAGCTAGCCTATAATATAGCTATAAATAAAAGCATAAAGATTATATTAATATATATTAATTTTAGATTTATATTAAATACTTATTAATAATTATAAGATATTATTATTAATCCTAAAGTAATCCTTATTAGTAATTAATTATATAATCTATATAAAGAAATATAAATAGAACTTATATTTATTAAGAATAAAATAATAAATTATATTAATAAGAAAAAGATTAAAGGATTAACCTTCTTAGAGAGAAATATAATTTACCTCGTAATAGAAAATATTAAAATAAAATAATAAAATAAAAAACTTAATTATAAATATATTAAATTATATAAAATAAAAAATAAAATCTTAAAATATAATTATAAATTAGATTTATTACCTAAGGTTAAGCTCTATTTAATCTTTTATATTTTATTACTTAAATTAATATAAGATATTATCTAAGTAAAAATAGGTAATAAACCTAATATAGAAGTTAATAGACTAGAAGAATATATTATAGAGGCTATCCTTAATATAAATAAAATTAATAATAAAATAATATATTTTATTAAATAGAAAGATTACCTTAACTTAAAAAATATATAAGAACCCCTAGAATACCTTACTAATATATAATACCTTCTAAAAAGTATTTACTAATAATACTAAATATAGGCTTATTAAGACTAATAGTATTCTAATTAATTAAATTAATAGCCCTAAAAGAATATACCTCTATAATAATAGATAACTCCTCGTAGAGCTTACCTAATTCCTCTAAGGCATATAGGCCGCGCTTAAAGGCCTTATTACTATGCGCTTTAAGTAACTTCTTTTATTTCTAGATATAAATAAGCTTAGCTATTACTTCCTCTAAGGTAACCTCTGCCTTAGCCTCCTCGTCTTCTAGGCGCTTATACTCTTAGATATTTTTTATAACTATAGAAAGTTAGCTAATAACTATAAAGGAGTATTAATATATATCTATAGAAAGAAGCTATATTAGCTCTATTATATATTACTTTTATATTAATATAATTAGAATAATAATTAAAATAATTAGAGATTACCTTATAGGATAAGCCCTAATAGAAAGAATAAATATAAGGCATAATTTTAGAATTAAAAGCCTTAATATAAATAAAGAGACCTTATATTTTAGAAAGTTTTCGCAAGGAAATATACTTAGAAACTCGGCCTAATATTATATTAATAGAAAGAAATTTTTATAAGTTAGAGTTACCTACTAATAATACTTAGTCGCTAAAATTAATCTTAAGGATAAAACTAATAAAAGGGGAACCTTATATTATAGCTATAATATAAGCTAGGTAGGGAAATATAATAGAAATACTCTAACTAAGTAAGGGACTAAAGGGACTAAGTATTACCTATATCGGTCTAGGGACTAAATATTAAAAATATTAATCCTACCCTAGACTAAACCTAAAGGATATTAGTCTAAAGATTAACTATAAATATATAAAACGCGCTTATTATACTTTCTTATAATATATATAATAAGTATACGCCATATCCAAATATACGCCGCACTTTTCCCTCCTATATTAAACTTTCTAATTAATTAATCGATTTCTATATTATAAATAATATTAGACCTAAATATTAAAGCTAGAACCCTTCTTACCCTTTAAGCCCTTTAAAATAACCTAAAACTAAGTATTTAATATACCATAGGAATCTATAAGATTAATAAGCGGTAATTATATCGTCGTAGATAAGGGATTTAATCGCGATATAATTAGATCCCTAAGTTACGCCGATTATCTAATCTAGAGGAATAGATTATAATATAATTTATCTTTAACCTAGATTTATAAGGATTTCCTCCCCGATTATATACTATTAAAGAAATAATTAATTAATTACTTACTAACTGCGATATATTACCTATTAGTAAGCGCTAGGCTTATAACTTTATTATATAATATAAAGAGCTTAAGATTTATTTCTTTTATAAATATAATTACTAGAGAGCTAAATATAAAGATCTAATTATTATTTATAAGTAATTTTAGCTTATAGCGAATATAATTATAAAATATAATATTTAATTAGATAATATTTAGAACTTTAATAAGATTAGCTTTCTTATAGGCATAATTATAAGTAAAATAATTATTATAAGTATAGAAAGGCATAGAAGACTGAAATTAATATAACCTAGAAGCTAGGAATAGATTATAGTAATTTAGGCAATTAATATAAAAGGCTAAGCGATCTAGCTATTTATTATTAGTATAGGCTAATATTACCTCGCTAATTAATACTAAGAGAATAACCTCCCGGGCGATTAGGCTATTATAATAACCTAAAATAGCTAGACTAATAATAAAATCGGTCTTAAGTAGCTTAAATACTTTGACTAATATATAACTAAGCGATTAAATAATCGCTATTATCTTCTAATCCTTAATAGCTATGAAAATTATTACTTTATTGCCTTTAAGAGATATTACGAGGAAAATAAGATTATTACGCTTTATATATTACCTTATTTATCTTATTTACTTTAGCCTCTTAATATTAGGTATTTTAGCCTACTTAAGAAGGCTTATAGCTAAGAAATAAAATATCTAATTAGATACTTTATAACCTATATTTTAAAGATTAAGTTCTTTCTAGCTTTTTATACCGCTTATTAGGCTATTATAATAGAAAGAAATATTAGATTAGCCTTTAGAAGAGCTAAGCTTATTCCTCTTAACCTAGAAAGTATAGTCTCGAAGCTTAATATATAGCTATAGATTCTAATGCCTACCGAGGAGGTAATTAGCCCTATAAACCCTTAGGTCTTAAAGACCCTAAAGATTATACTTAAGGCTTAATCTTAGTTTAAATACCTTAATAGATAAATTAGGTAATATTAAAGTAGCTCCTTAGAGTTAATTCTAAGAGCTCTTAAGTCCCTTACTAAGAGAACTATAGTAATAATATATAAAAATGCCTTATTAAGGGCTAAAGTCTAAGACCTTCGGTAAATAAATAAGATACTAAGCCGGCACCGGAGGGCAAAAAGAACCTAATTATAGAGAAGAGGGGTAATAATAATAGAGGAGGGAAGGCAAGTAATTAATTAGATAGATAGTAATATATAGGTAATAGCAAAATCGTCGAGAAGTAGTAATTAAGGAAGGTCAGCGCGACCGGGGGTTTAGCGCTATAGTATATGCGGAAAGACCGGTTATAATATAAGGACTTATTAAGTAGTAATTAAGACTTCTAGCGAAGAGTATAGTAATTAATTTTAATTAATTAATTAATTTATTATATTTTTACTGCGGTTTTTAACTTAAGGGTATAAGAAAAGTGCGGCGTATACTTAGATGCGGCGCATGCTTATTATATATATTATAATAGCTACTTTAGTTATTAATATAGCTTAGTTATACTTAATACCTTAAGTATATTACTAGACGTAATATTATATTACCCTTTAAGGTTATATAATATTCTCCTTTACTAATATAAACCTATATAACTAGTTTATCCCTTAGGAAATATCCTCTCGTTATACTTTAAATAAATCTTTATTTTTTTTATTATTATATAAGAATTATAATTTATAATTATAAGCTTAATAAGTCTAATATTAAGCTAAGCTTTTTTATTTAAATTTATAATTTATTAAATACTTAATATATTTATATAAATCTTTAGCGCTATTATCTAATTAAATTATTATATCTTAGTCTTAAGATAAATAATCTTAATATTATTTATTATATTAGACTTTAGGACTATAAATATAATATATATAGAATAATAAAAAGGTATAATATATATACTAAGGTAATTAATTATAGATAAAAAAAGGGATTTAAAAGTATAAAAATAAGGGATTTTCTAATAAATAAGGTTTTTAAAGGTCTTTAAGTTAATTTAGGGAGGAATTATTAATAATAATAAAAGGTATAAAAGAAATTACTAAGGAAAGCTCTTACCTAAGCTTATAATTATTATATAAAGTGCCTATAGTTACCTTAAAGTATAAAAAATAATAATTAAAAGAGCTTTTTTTTTTTTTCTAAAATAAGGGTATTACCTAATGCGGCTATATATATAGCGCATAGCCCCTATAACGGGGCCGCATTAACTAATTATAGCGCGCTATAGCTTAATACTAATATACTAGTGTTGGAGAAGTGGCATGCATGATGATGTTACATAGGCAGCCACCTCAAGGGAAGATGTTACCCCATGATACCTTAATTGTTAGAACAACGTTACAGATCTATTATAGGATTAGCAGGTCTAGTATCTTGGTCTTGCCCCCTCAGATACAAAGACAACGAGGGAGAGCGAAGAATAAGGAGGACGAACACAAGGAACCTCATTAATATACCTAAGATTATCCTAATATTATCTTTAATCATCAGTTACCTAGTGAGGGCGCGCTATCTAATAATTAAGAGTCTTATCCGCTCTAAGATCTATCCGCGCTACGAACGATACGCGTTCCTCATATCATATAGATATTATCCGATATGACTGATAACGCCGTTTATTATAACGACGCCAAAGACTGGGAAGATTGGCAGATGGAATTCCGCAAACGAGCGGAAGGCGAAGACGTCTGGCAGTATATCGAGCCGACTAGCGACCTTCCGTGGCCGCAAGAGCCTACGCCACCGAATATCGCGGACTACTAGTCGAATATAATCTATGCTAATACCGAGTCGAATAGCTCCAGACGATCAGGTAGATCCCAGATAACTGGATCGGCTGTTCTATAAGGCCTCGGCGATCTTTCCGACGCTGGGAGGCTGAGCTTCTAGTAATATTGGAATGAATATATGGTAGCGATACGGAGATACGAGACAATTAAGAAGTCACTGAGAACCCTCCGCGAGTGGGTGCTAAAGACGGTCAATAAGTCAATCCAGAAGACTAACCTTCCGCCTAACGGCAATCTCAATAAGTGGTACGCGATCTTGGCCTAATTAGGCGAGGAATACGCGAGTCACCGGATGGAAGACGCTCGAATCGCCTTTAAGAATTATCTCCGATCAGCTCCAAAGAAGGAAGCAGGGCTCGAGAAGTGGATCGTCAGATGGAAAGAGCTCATGGCTGAAGGTTAGAGATAAGGAGTACCCGAGACGACGGAGCCCCGAGCGTGGGCCCTTGACTTCGTCAATGCAGTCGAAGAAACGGCGCCACTCTGGGCATCGAATTACCGACTGAACAAGCTAGATGCAGTGAACAATCGCGAAGTCAGCTATCGCGAAGTGGCAACGAATCTGTTGAGGGAAATCGCCAATAGACGCAACCGCAGCGCGGTTCCAAGAGGCAGCTACAAGGCCGGCTTCTTGACTCTCCACGGTCAGCAGGCTAATCAGGACGATATCGACCAAGATGACCGCGATACTTAGCCCCCAGAGCCAGCAAACCCTCGCGGTAAGGCAGGCAGTAAGGGCAGTAATAGCGGCCGAGGCGGAAAGAAGATAGATTAGAAGCGTAAATGGAAGGAATCCGACGCTGAGACTGAAAGCGGAAGAAGATGCAAAGCTTGCCTTGCGCCCGGTCATTCAATTAGCAGCTGCTTCTATGTCTTTCCGGAGAAGGCACCGGAAGGCTTTCGGTTTAACGAGGCGGCGGCAAGATTTGTAAAGATTCAAATTGAGTTAGATATAGCGATAAAAGAGGAGGTTAACCGGCTCTCGAAGAAAGCAAAACTCGAGTCAGATGACTGACTAGACCACGGGGTCGGAGTGACTAAAAGCTACTTCCTTGTCATTCGTGAAGGATCGAAAGCAGCGTTTAACTCGTCCCCGTACCCCTTGAAGAACTCGGCTATCTTAGATTCGGGTTCTACGATCCATATCTTCAATTCCTTCTCAAGGTTCCGAAATTACTAATACGCACTAACTGGCGATTTTGTATTCGCTGGAGAGGTGAAGGTGCCGATCTAAGGATACGGCGAAGTTGATATCTGCATTGATGGACCATAAGGCTTATGTATTATGATACTTTCTGATGTCGCATTTTGCTAAAACTTCGCATGTAATATTGTGTCCCTCTGGCGGCTACGTCGGAAGGGATATTAGTGGGACAATAAGGGTGCTAATAACTGCATCCGCAGGAGGGATGACTCCCTGGTATGTCGGTTGATTGATCAGTTCGATTAATTCGTCATTGAGCATATTCCTCTCGATATTACGAAAGTAGTATTCGCAGCACGACGGATTTAATTTAACTTATGGACCGAACGGACGCCTAGCATGGTATCCGAGCAATGCTGGCATCTCTGACTTGGTCACCTAGGGCCAGAAGCTTTGAGGCACCTCGCTTATTACTCTCGGGGGGTGCGACTAAAAGGTCTGACTATAATCCAATGCGATGCCTGCGGCTGTTCTAAGGCGAAGAGATAGATCCGCCGGCTGCCACGAGAAGGACCAACCAAACCCGGTTAACGCCTCGCAGTTGATTTCCTAGATCTTGAACTCGATGGCGAAGGATATTAGTGTGCGATGTTAGTTATTGACCGTTACTCCGGCTATATGTTCGACTTCTACCTAAAGAGGCGGGATACCGATACCTTGATTAGTGCTTTCGAGGATCTTATCGGACTGCTGAAGAACTAGTTTTAGATCTAGCCTCAGGCGATCGAATGCGACAACGAGATTACCGACAACCATAGGCTCATAGCCTTTCTCATAAGAAGATATTATATTCGGTGTGAGCCCTCGGCACTATATACATAGGCTTAGAATAGCGGCGCTGAGCGCTTAGGGGGTGTGATTAAGGAGAAAGCCTGTGCGATGAGAGTAGGAGCTAAGTTACTTACCTTCCTTTGGGTTGAGATTTATAGGGCTGCTATTTATCTATATAATCGAACCCTAAAATACCTCTTGCACTGGTAATCCCCTTATGAAGTTTTTTATACTTACCTAGTCTATAGAGACGGCATAGTAGTTAAAGACCGCAAGCCGAGCTAAGTCTATCTCCGTGCATACGGCTGCAAGGCGTTTGCTATATCTGCGGAATCACTAGTAAAGAAGAACCGGCTTTAGAAGCTTAACCCGAAGGCATAAATCGGGTATCTCGTTAGATATTAATCCACGAATATCTACCGGGTATAGAACCTACTAATTAATAAAGTCGTTGCCGTTAGGGATATGGTTTTTAACGAGGATAAATTCTTTACTAGCGATATCTAATATATAAAAGATGACCTGCGGCATATTACGGAGGAAGAACTTACTATGCTGCTGAGGGACTTCTAAGTCCTAGATTCAGCTAATCCCTCGTTAAGCGTACCTATGTAAGATAAGGATAAAGAACTCAGTGGTCTAATGATGCTCCTAGACAATATGGTTGATGAACCGACCGGTGATATATAGGATGCTTAAACTGAAGTATATATGGTAGAGCCTGATTACCTCTATACGACTGCGCGGTTCGAGCCGCTCCTGACTCCGGAGTATATACCACTACCTGCGGTAGCGCTCATGGGTGCTACTATTAGAGAGCTTATAGAGCGCTAGGAAAGTGTTGCTTGCTGTCGCTCTGAGGTTAGCGCTACGAAATGCTATAGCGGCTGCAAGGAAAGTGCGATTGGCTATCGCTGCCTTTAGCAGAATAATAGCCACTCTGAAGTTAATACTATGAGTAGTGCCTGTAAGGAAAGTGCGACTTGTCGCTCTTATCGCTGCCTTCAGCAGAGTGATCACCACTCTGAGGTTAGCACTACGATAGGCCATGGTGACTGCAAGGAAAGTGCGACCTCTGGTTGCTGCCTTTAGCAGAGTGGCAGGCAATGTAGCTGCCGGCGAGTTAAGTCTGGTATTCCAGGCGGGTCATACCTCTCGCTAGCTCCGGCCGGATAAGATATCCGGGCCATCCGCAATCGCCAAGGCAATTGGGAGGCTACGTTTAACGCTGGCCGATAAGCTGCAACGATTGGCATAATAAATGGCAAGCCTATGACCAAGGGTCATTTCTATAAGATGGTGAATAAGCCGAGGGGACGCCCCTCTACTTACCAATTTATTAAGCGTTTATCTAATAGGCAGCGTACCTTTGTGCCTCGCTAAGACGGAAAGATTCATCGGCGTGACCTGCCTCCGCTACCTAAGACTCATAAGGACCTCGAATCTTATCTGTTGAGGCTAGCGTTCCTAGAGGCAGAGAAACAATATCTATAGAGTCATCAAGATATGAGCACATAGGCCGAGACTGATAAGAAGGCAGCCATAGGGCACTAGCTACTAGATTGTATGTGGGTTTATGTGTATAAATTCGATAAATACGGCTGGCTTGTTAAATGTAAGGCTCGTCTTATGGTCCGGGGTGACTAGTAGGCCAAGTCGGTATACGAGAACATATATGTATCCATATTAGCTGGAAGGTTATTCCGGACCCTAATGGCGATTGCCGCATGGTTTGATCTTAAGCTTATCTAATACGATGCTATTAATGCCTTTGTCAACGCTAAGCTACCATACGATATATTTATGAGGATGCCACCGGGTTATTGGAAACGTGGCAGGATCCTATATCTACTTAAAGCTATGTATGGTCTACGGGAATTACCCTTACTGTGGCAGAAGGAACTTATAGGCACACTCGAGCGCCTAGGCTTCTCACCGGTACCGCACGAACCGTGTTGTTTCACGAAGAACGGGATCTTGATCTTCTTCTACGTGGATGATATCGTCGTGGCATACCGGAAGGAGAATTAGGCTGCTATAGATGATCTGATGGGTCAGCTGTAGGAGGTGTATAACCTGACCGGCGGGTATGAGCTGTAGTGGTTCCTTGGCATCGAGATTATCCGTGATCGCAAGCGGAGATTGATCTGGTTATCCCAATCCGACTATATTGATAAGCTGGCTAACCTCGTTGATGCGAAGGATGCAAATTTTCCGAAGACGCCGATGAAATTGAGGGAACTTCTTCCTTTCGATAGCCAAGCATCTCATCGATCAATCAATCTCTACCAGCGCCGAATCGGGTCGATCCTATATTATGCAGTAATTACTCGACCGGATGTCGTATTTACTGCCTCGCGATTAGCACGGTTTAACGCTAATCCTAGCGACGAGTACCTAAGCGCTGCTGAACATCTAATTTGATATCTACTTAGTACTAAGACCTGGGCCTTATAGCTAGGAGGAGAAGACTCGATAGAGACCTAGAGCGATGCATCATACGCAGACAATACGATCGACCGGAAAAGTTCTTAAGCATACATCATGAAGCTATTTGGAGGAGTAATCGGTTAGCGAGCGAACAAGCAAGACATAGTGACTACCTCTACTATAGAGGCGGAGTTATTGTCCCTTGCGCAAGCTACCAAGGAGGCTATGTTCGTATCGCGGCTGATCAAGGAGATTGGTATGGAGCTTGATTCATCACGATTAAACATCTGGTGCGATAACTAGTAGACGATTCGGCTCGTTAACGCAGATATCGCGATGCTGCAGACGAAGCTCCGTCACGTCGATATCCACAATCATTAGCTGAGACAAGCTGTTTCCCGAAAGACGATCAAGGTCGCATATACACCCACCGGCGACATGCTGGCTGATGGTTTGACGAAAGCACTGCCAACTAAGGCATTCAGGAAGTTTAGGTCACAGGTTGGGCTGGTCGATATCAAAGATCGGATTGAGGCAAGGAAGATCAAGGTCTTGATAGAAGATGATTTTGATGCTGCGGAGGATGCCCTCTCTGGCGGAGAATCAGATCTGATTTCCGGAAAGATGGATGACCTGTGTATTAATTGAGCTGGCAGTTAACGGCCTGGGTAGTTGCCTGAGGGGGTATATTGGAGAAGTGGCATGCATAATGATGTTATATAGGCAGCCACCTCAAGGGAAGATGTTACCCTATGATACCTTAATTGTCAGAACAACGTTACAGATCTGTTGCAGGATCAGCAGGTCTAGTATCTTAGTCTTGCCCCCTCAGATATAAAGATAACGAGGGAGAGCGAAGAATAAGGAGGACGAACATAAGGAACCTTATTAATACACCCAAGATCATCCCAATATCATCTTTAATCATCAGTTACCTAGTGAGGGCGCGCTATCTAATAACTAGAGGTAGAACTTAGTATTTAGCGAGAGAATCCCTTTTATAAAATAATAATTGCCTTAAGACTACGTTTAGACTTACTTTCGATAGACTATGCATTTTAGTTACTTTATACAAGATTACATAAGCTATTTAACAATATTTTTACTATACTTGGTCGACGTTGACTTATTGTCTCGGCAAATGGGATTAATCGCCTCCTAGACATTCATCAACATCATGCTTATTTCATAGAATGCAGACCGAAAGACAAAGTTCGGCGCAGTGCCAGCACATTTGAAGAGACTAATTATCTTAGTGACAAACATCTCTTCTTTGCCTCTAAGCCAGC